ATGGATGGATGGAGTTTAATCAAATATTTTTTTCATAATTTCCTGCTATCCCCTACATCTAAAACTAGACGCTTTTCAGCAAACTTTGATGTAAAAAATCAAGGCTGTTTGCTTCTAATGAGGCATTGTGTGGCTATAGTAACCTGAGAACAGCAGAGGGCAGATTACACTGTGCAGTAGCGATTAGTGCTTGGGGAAAGAGACTGAACATGATCCCGTTAGCTTTAATAATCAGCCAGGCTTACAGTGTAATTCACTCTAATGGTCTGTGCAGACCATTAGACTAAACATAAGCCAATTTAATTTGCAAACATCCTTTGCTTTCTCCGGGAGATCAGATGGCTTACAATGAGGTTAAGGTGACTTGTCGTCATAGATCTGGTTTGCGTGTATGTAGCTTTTTCTAGTGCTGTTTAACATGTAAAAGGTTGTCTGGAGCAGCTGATGATTAGTGTTCAAATCCAGGAGGTGTTTTTATTTTTAGGGCTGCATTTTTCTGTGTGGACACAAGGGGGCATCAGCTGTCAGTGAAAGAGCTTCTTGGAGTCTGACTCAACACTTTGCACAAGTGATGTCACTGGCAGCCAATGAGAGTTTGTGGAGCTGGTGCTTTGCTGTGCTGGTATAAGTAGTGGAGAATGCGTATTTACAAATGCATGAGGGGAGCCATGCAGAGAAAAAGAGAGGGAGAAAAGGAGAGAGGAGGGAGAGGGTGATACAGTGAAAATGAATGATGACAGGTGGTAGGTAAACATCTCTGTATATTTTTGGGCGGCATACTGTGGATCAAAATACTTAAAGCAACAGGCTACAAAGTAAGTCACTGTGTCAAAACTGTTGAAAGGCTGCATACTCCCATGTGATGTGAAGAAAGAATAGTGAACGGTAGGCAGTGAACCCTGCAGTTGCTGTTATAGTTCAAAGTGAATGAAGTGCACTGTGGCATAGAAACTGTGAATAAAGCCAGGATGAGTCAAGATCAGGTAAAGATTGTACTGTGGGGTGTATTCCTCTTACCCTCTTATCATCTTGGAGTCAGTATTCCCCTCGCCATCACTCTTCTGCTACACTCCGACCTCCTCCTACTGCTGGTAGCAGACTTCTGACTTTGAAAGGCATGTGAAGTGGTGGATGAATGTAAAGTGATCCAGCTGTTACTTCCTGGAACCAATATTGGCATGAATAAATATTATCCAGAGACTTTCCTCCTGCAGTGTCTGGACTACTGTACAGTGTGGAGGCTGTTAATGTTGCCAGGCAGTATTGCCATAATGAGTGAATTGTAGGGGCCTTTAGTCGATCTCTGGGGCATTTTGGGGGGAATAAACGGTGCGTATTACCATTTAGATGAACATTTTTTCAAAAGTTAATTTGTCCAGACCCCACAAGAGATGAGCTTTCCAAATAACATTGAATGCAGAGAAGATGATCTTTGAATGATCTGAAACAAAAAAAAACAGCAGTTAAATCAAATGTGCTGCTTATTGCAAGAGCATGAAAGTGGATGAACTGAAGTGTAGCTAGTGTCTTCTCCTTTTTACCTCTTAGCTGTAAAAGGCTGATGGGGTATTGTGGCAGCGTGAACGCGGTAACTCGAGAACGAGGCAACATAGATTTTGAAATTCATACTGTAGGTGTACCTACAAAAAATCTCAGAGAAGTTCAAATCTCACTCACCTTGACCTCAAGATCAGAGGTCATGTTTTTTGGAAATCTTGTGAATGCAATAACTTGAAAACAAAACAATGTGGTATTTTCAAATTG